TTTGGGGAATATTTTTGTCATTTTTAGTAAAAAGTGATATTTTCGACTTCTTTTGAAAACCGCAAGTGCGATTGCTTTGATACTACATATATAGGTACTACATGTGGACCTCTCTCAGATTTGTTTATTTTGTAATGATATCTTTAATTCTCTAATATTGGTGAATATTTTTGTCATTTTTGGTAAAAAGTGTTATTTTCGACTTCTTGTTAAAAACTACAAGTCCAATTGCTTTGATATTACATATATAGGTACTACATGTGGACCACTCTCAGATTTATTCATTTTGTAATGATATCTTCAATTCTCTAACTTTGATGAATATTTTTGTAATTTTTGGTAAAAAGTGATGTTTTCGACTTCTTGTTGAAAATCGCAAGTCTGATTGTTTTTATATTACATATATAGGTACTACATGTGGACCTCTTTCAGATTTGTTAATTTCGTGGTGATATCTTCAATTATGTAATTTTGATGATTGTTTTTGTCATTTTTGGTGAAAAGTGATATTTTTGAATTCTTGTTAAAAACAGCAAGTCCCATTGCATTGATACTATGCATATTGTTCATTTTCTAATGATATCTTCTGTTCTTTAATTGAAATGTGCATTGCTAACAGCAGAGTTATCTCAGCCGACAGGCTGCTTGTTTTAATATGAGATGTATCCTGCAATAAAGATTTAATAATAATAATAATAAAACTTGAAAGAGCCAGAGGGTCTTTTGTATCATTTAAAGCGGGAGGGTCGTCCCAATCGACGATAACAACACACGCTAAAAACGCAAAGGCTCATGGGTTTGTAAACAATGACACTCTACGACCATCTGACGCATGCATAGGTGATGACTCCCCGCTTTAATTTGACTGCAAAATGCATTTAGAACAAAAATGCTTGTAGATCTGCTTGCATTGTCAAGACTATGCGAGAAAGCCATTCAATTGAGAGAGTATGAATTATGTAAATGGTTCCCTCTATTTGCATGACTTGAAGATACGTAAATCAGGCCTGTCAGTTCTTCCCACACAGCTTACAAATTATCTCCAAATATAAATACGTAGCTTACATTATGTTTATTTTTAGTTTTCAGCGTGGACACGATACTGGGCTGGTCTCTGGGGCACAAACCTGGTATTCTATGCAGCAAAACACTTAAGGGGGCAAGAGAGGAATGATTTCAAGTCGTCAGCGTGTAAAATAGTCTCCATTATAGACTGGGTGGTAGTTTTAACTGAAGATCTTCAACATTGCGATGTTTTTCAAATGACGGATCCATCTAAAGGTTTGTTTTACTTCTGTAAAATAAGCATGAATTAGACATAAATAACTTGCTGAGGTGTTGTGATATGACAAATAAATTGTGCAAAGATGTGTTGTCAAAATAAAACTCAAAATTAGTTGCACTGTAATGATCCAGTATAAAATACTAAATTTGCTTCATTAGCATCGCATGAACTTACATAAATGACACTGGTAGTCAGCCAAACCACCAAAATTTTCTTATTGAGACTGCTGTAAAGTTAGAACTGATTACAGTGCCTAATTTGTTTCCAAATATTGTCGATTACTGGCATACTTTGGCTACAGTATTTAAGACATAGAAATAATATAATATGACAATATGTTGCAGCAAAGTAAATAATTGTACAAATCTTGACATTCAGAGAAATCTCAATGATAATATCCTAGTGGTTTTCTCTGTATATACATGTATAATAAATGCATATTTTGTTTCATGTGTGCTTCAGTTTTTAATATGATAACATTACAGTTATTGTTGTAAAGCACAAAAAAGAGGGTTTCAGTACACATATATTAATCAACTTTTCAATTAAAAATTATGTTGTCTTTGTTTGTAGGGAATGTTTACAAGTTTCATGGTGGCAGTTTGATGAAAGCACAACAGTGGTTTAAACACCTTAACCAAGCCAGCAAAGCCAATCAGGGACCCAAGGTTTGTACTCAAGGATAGAATAAATGAAGTCCAGAAAACAATACATGTTGCTTGAACTTCTAACTGATATCATTTCCACAATGTATTTCAAACTTTATGACTAATACTTGGTTTAATATAAATTCATATGACAGAGTGGAGATCAGATGATACTTATTTCAGAAGAGAGCTGAATTTGTGATGAAATGTTTCCCAAAACATGAATTGAAGTAGAATACATTTATTTATTTTTTCTCTGCAGCCTCCCAAGAACTTGATGTCTTTTGAATAGGATCTGTTTGCATAAAATAACACAATGTTACCTGAATAACACAAACTTATCCTAAATAAGGAACCTCATTCATATAGAGAAGTTCACATATATTGATAAAAGTTGCAGACATGCAGTTGCCTGTGTTGGATGGATTACTAGAAGTTTTCGACACTCTTGCAACTTGATCTGAAAATGAATTCCGAGGAATACTGGTGTGTTATTAAAATCCTTTGCTATGTTGCCACTGGTGTGAAACGATAGGACATAGAAACCACTCACTATGATATCGCTGGTGTGAAACGATAGGATATAGAATCACTCTCTATGTTATCGCTGGTGTGAAACGATAGGATATAGAAATCACTCTCTATGATATCGCTGGTGTGAAACGATAGGATATAGAAATCACTCTCTATGTTATCGCTGGTGTGAAACGATAGGATATAGAAATCACTCTCTATGTTATCGATGGTGTGAAACGATAGGTTATAGAAATCACATGTGATGTCACCGCTACATGTAGTGTGGAGCAATAGGACATACACTTGCACCTTAGTTATAAACAATAACATACAAAATCACACATGATAATTGTGTATCTAACCAAAGTGTATCCAAGTCAGCAAACACTGTGGAGACGCTACAGCTGAAATACGGAGAAAGCATTTATTTACCTAACCACTCACTTGTGTCCTATTTGTGTGTATTTCCACAAAGTGGATAACGTCCACATAATATTTTATTTTCATATTTTCAATTTATGTACTTAATATTTGCTATTTATTACAATTTTGAGCAATTCTTGTAAACTTAAAATTGACGCTTGCAATTGAAACTTGGCACTATCTTTTTAAATGACATCATAGGCTAACTATTGTTTTTATACCGAACACAAGTTATGTTGTAGATTTTGTGCATTTGTGTTCAATTGGAAGTATTTGTTTAAAATTGCATTATGAGATCATTCCTAAAGATTTATTGGGGTCCCGGAGCTATAATGTGGAAATTTGTAAGAGTGGGAAATATATGCACACACTGGTGGAATTCTTTGACTAGTAGCCCAGATTTGCCAAAAGCTTTTTCAAGCGAAATTGGCAAAACAAATTTAATAGGAAGCCAAAACGATTTGCAGCTTTTAAATGAGCTGATTGTTGAACATTTAGAACATATTTTCCTGCAATTCATATAAATTTAGACCATCAAATATACTCCCCAGATGCCAATAATCATTTATGAGAGAAAATATGAGTATTGGTCAATATATTCACTTGATTTTGCATATTGATGTTGCCACATTGGATTAGAGTAAAATAAAACAAATAACTCTTTGTACACAAAGTTTGATAAAAAGTGAACTATGCAAATGTGGTTTTAATCAAAAACCAACACACTTGTGAAGTTTTATTTCATAATTTCACCAACAACATATGAAATGATAATCCAATGTGTTTATTATCAATGTGTAAAATCAAACATAAACATTAAAAATACTTGAAAGTTACAAATAATGAATTAATGATCCTTTGCTAATTATATTGTGTATTTACAAGAATAGAGCTCTGCAGAACATTGTGTTCACCTATGACATCATATTTGTGTACAGCGCCCTCAGTGTCACCAATGTGCTCCTCTCAATCCAGTAAATTTTAAGTTGTGTACTGTGCCATTCGACAGAAAGCATTTATTTTATTTATTATTTTGTTATCTTCAGATGATATGTTTGTTTTCATCTGTAGAAGACATAACAGTTTGTGAGGGTCACACATCTAACAAAGTAGAAAGCTTTGTTTATTCAAGTGTGATTTTGTCACATGTACCTACTTTTGAAAACAGAAATTATTTGCTTGCTTTTTTATGACAAAACTTGCCAAGTGAATTTTTTTAATTGAAGCATTTGCTGGATTTATAGGTATTTTTTAGCCAAGAGTAGTTTGTATATTAACATAATGAAATGAACTGATAAGAGTGATTGCTGCCCCTATGCAGCTAATGGGGGTGGGGCATGTGTACATGCAGAACATTATTTCAGCAACTTAGGGAAGCTCATTATGTGCGCACTGAGCACTAATTTAAAGTGAATATGCCATGGGTTTTGTATATTATTATTCCAGCCTTCACACAAGGCAGGGTAATGGGTCCATAGAACATTGTTACTTTCTCAATTACAATGGAGTGAATGTTTTATGGGGGCAATTATCTGTTTCTGTCATTGTTGTCTTCATTTTAAAATAACATCATTCCAGCGTGTAATGTATTAAGCATCCCTAGTATACCTGATAATATTTTAGGTTTTACTAAGTATGTTGAAATAAACAAATTTGGCATTTCTTTCTTTGGTCATACAGTTATTTGATATTTGCTTTGAATAGTAAGTGAGTGGGTGTAAATAATTCTGAAAAGATATTAATACAAACTACCCGGTAAGTGAAACAAGTCACTGTCAATGACATAGTTCCTGTTTGTGTTATATTTGTAATATCATTACTACTGAGGCAATATCCATAATTTCAACCGACTTGTATGTTATATGGCACAGAGAAATTGGAAATGTTTTAACAAGATGGCCGCCAGTCAGCCTTTTGGGATCTGATGACATTTGTTTGTCCAATATAATGTCTCATGTATCCATGAAGTTTGAACTTGATTGGTCCAGGCATATCAAACATGCACTATTTACAAAAAATGGTTGCCACTTCACTTCAGGAAGCAGCCAATTTGACCTAAACATGGCAGGGGATACCATATCATTCTGCATTCAATTCATTCATTACTACAGCTACACTGCCCTTCATCACCATGTCATACTAGTATTAATCAGTATATGTTCTTTCAAATTGGAGTTCACTGCTGAGACTCCAGTTTCACACTTTACACCACTTTTCTACAGTAATGTAAATGGCATTTAATTAGATCATCTATCATGAAAACTAACATTATGTTAAGCTATCGCAATATTACATGTTTCATTTTCTCCGGGCAAGTGTTTTTCGAAAGTGTGGCTATGCTAATGTATAATCACTTTTACAGTTTAATTAAAAGCTGATAGCATTAATACCTGCATGAATCAACATGTATAATAGCCAGTCAGAGTTGCTTCCACCACAGTCCCTCCATCTCAGGAATGGTTTTCTGCGCTTCCATAGAACACAG